ATTTAAAATCTGAATATTTGCAGGACTTGTTTGTCAGCTGAATGCAAAACCAAGAATTAACATTCTTTTTTGCTAGGATTTATTTTTTATTCACTTCCATTGCATGTGAAAAAACTTAGTTACTTTACTGATTTGTCATTCTTGCTTAATGATAGTTTAATAAGTTTACACTGATAGTTGATCAAATTTAAACTCTTTTTTTTATGTTGAGGGCCAAAAGGATTCAAATCTAGGTGTCTGGAATATAATTTCAGTTAAAAGGTTTAGGGGTTTCAATTTAGTCTGGTTTGATAACCCGAAGATTTGGAGGTAAAGTACAGGTTAAAAGTGAATGAATTGCTCGTAGATATTTATATGTGAAGCAATTTTCAGTTGGAAGGTTACTTGGCATGTTTTGCTGCGAGTTTCATAGCTATTGCTTTGGATATATACCAATCAAATATTCATCCATGTTTTGAAAGCAAAAATTCTTCAAAAATTCTAAATTGCAATTCTGCTGACACATTATAGTAGTTTCCTAAATTACACCCAGTTTTCAAACATTGCTATCTTTTGATCTTAAGAAATGACTATTTGACTAAATTTGTACTTCCATCTGAAAATTTAAATCACATTTGACGGGTGAGAATCTAGTCATCACGATTCAGGACTTGTATTAGCTGAATATTCCACTGTCTTCTCTTGATTTTAGACTCCTCTCATCGTTTTGTGCAGGGGAAAGATGGGTGCTTCACTTCACAGATCGTCAAAATCAAAGGCCATTGGAGGAAAACCTCCATATTTAATGGTGTTGTTAATTTTCTGTACATTTTTTTTCTTCAATTTTTTTTTTCTTGTTCTGACAAGCATTCACAATGCAAGTGTTTTTAAGCTAGAAGAGCTTTCCTTCATAAATCATGTTTTGGTAACTGGAATTATTTCCCTTATATAAACTTTTGGAGAATACTTTGCTGTATGTGATGATTATGCACATTGAAGCATCAAAATGTTAATCATAATGATTTTCTTTTTTTGGGATTATGCAGCCTTACTTTGGTATGTTTGGATATGGTGGACCCATAGCATCTATGCATTTGGGGAGGTACGATTTCCTTTAAAAAATCTCCATTATCTAGTTCTGTTTCAAGTACATTCTCAAAATGTATATCTTTATCACTCCCTCTCTCTTATTTATGTTATTTAACATTATAGGCGTGCTTTAGTCTCTTCCAAAACAAAACATGTCAAGAAAGTCTACATGTTGTTTCTTGAGAGAGAAGCTTTGTTAAGTGCATCTAGCTCTAAAATGACATGGAAGGTATGTATGTTTTCCTAGCAATGCATTTGGCGCCTTCATTTCTTCTCTTATTTTTCTGTGCTCTCAACAGACAGTAGCATGTTACTTTTACTAAACATCTTTTTTTTGTCATTCAGACTGATGGTGGCATCAGGGATCCCTCAGAGGATGAAATCAGGGACTCTGATGGAAGCTTTACAAGGGTATATATCATCTATCATCTTTTACTTATTGTAGTCCTCTTATTCATTTTCACCATTGTGGATTTGACGTTTGTCTTTAACCACTTAATCATATAATACTTAAACCATGTAATTATAATAAGCTAAATGTGCTTATCATTTAAATTTATGTATCATTTGGGATCGATAGTTTATTTTTTCTTTTGTTTGCTGATTTTATTTTTTATGTAGACTATCATATTATTATTGGTGTTTGAGCTGAGAATTTTCTACTCTCTCTTTTTTTTAATCTTGAAACTGTCCTGAAAATATTTTTTTTATTTTTTATTTAGACTATCATATTATTATTGGACAAGACTCCTCTAAAACGAGCTTGTCTCTATAGTGAACAAGAAATTGGAGCTTTATACCATTACTTCTACTGCCACCTTCACTGTCATTTTCTTAATGTATTTATGTTTTTGGTTGAGCCCTAGTTATTGTCTTATTTATCCAATTCTATATATCAAGGCATCTGGAAAAGTCTTTTCCCCATCGTACTACTAATGTTATGTTTACACGGGGCAAAATGGTTATATCTTCAATTTTATTCATGAACACATTATATGATACTGTTGCAGGTTGACATTTACGAGCCAAAAGTAAAAGATGTTGACATAAGTAGACTCCAGTGCCACCTAAAGGACATATATTTCCCCTACATTCAGGTTTGGATTCTGCCAATGAATTGAATAAGTCTAACAGATAAGATGAAATCTTTATCTTTTCAAATTTAGGTGTGAGTGTTTAGAAGTTCGTTTTGTTTTTTACTATTGTCAACATAAAAATTGGTATTCAACATTATTTCTAGGTGCCTTTTGAAATGATCTAATCTGCTGCTCTATATATTGTTATATTGATGCTTATTGTAAATATAGTATGTTATGTACAAAAAAATAAGTAGTATGGTAGTCTTTTTATGTTTGTAAATGGAGGATGACGGTTTCTTCCTCTTGCTCCTTTTCTCCCTGTCGCTATTTGAGTTTTTAGTAGGAAATTAGATTTATTTAAGAAAACATGGAAATCAGCTCCTTACAACAGAGGTAGACTTCTAGAATACCTATAACAGAAAAATAAAAGATACAATTGGTCATTGGAGACCTGTAACTTCTCAGGTCCTCACTCAGTTTTTGCCTACTTCTATGGTCATATCTTATTTCGCACATAGCCTCTAACTTCATTACATTTCTTCCCATACCAAGTTTGTTGTTATGGCTCAAATTTCTCTTCCTCACTTACTCATATAGGAGTGCCTAACAATATTCCAAACCCCCTTCCCCCCACCCCCGCGGCCCCAAAAAAAAAATCACTTGTCCTGTTGAAGGGTCTGGGAAGTCTTATACAGCTTTCAAGGAAATCTCGCCATGTCCCATTGCTTGAAACACTCTGTTAAAGAACCTTGAGGTCACCACCCCAAAAGCTAGCTCAAAGGGTGGGAGTGCCTAAGGTCTTATAAACTCCACATTAGTTGCACATACAACCAATGTGGGACTATATATCTCAACACGCCCCCTCACATGAAAGCCCTTTGGGCTTGAAGTGTGGACAATGCAACAGGCTCAGCCTACCTGTGCTAAGAAACGCCACAAGAGAAAGTGGGGGGCGGCGAGGCTCTGATACCATGTTAAAGAACCTTGAGGTCACCACCCCAAAAGCTAGCTCAAAGGGTGGGAGTGCCTAAGGTCTTATAAACTCCTCATTAGTTGCACATACAACCAATGTGGGACTATATATCTCAACACACTCAATGAACCCTAGGCAGGCCAGGTAACTTGAGAGGTCGGAATAAGCAGTCTGGAACTTCTTGGGCAGGATTGACTTGGTGCTCAACCATCCTGTTAAGAGTGTTAGTGTTAATAGTGTAGAAGTCCCACATTGAGTCTGTCTCTTTGTATTCTTCAATTGGTTTGCTATATAATAGCACTAATGTTGTGTAGTTTAATACAACAAGGATTACTATTATTTCCTCTTATATCTATGATATTCAACATGGTATCTAGAGCCTAACAAGAGGAATCTTAATCCGTTTAACTTAGTTCTATTTTCCATAATTTCAATATGGTTATAGAGAGATATCACCCTCCTTGAGGGATTCCCGTTGCTATTTCTTTTTCGGGTTTTTCTTTGTATGCTCTGTGACTGCAGCTTAGACTGATCTGTCACATCAGAAAAGAATGATCCTTGAGAAGTTGTTGGGTTGACCACCGTTGTCGTTGACCGACCACCGTTGACCGCGTCGTCCACCGTTGACAGCCGTCTCCGGCGACTTTTCCGGTGACTTTTTTGATGACTTTCCGGCGACTTTTTCGGCGATCCACCACCGTCTCCGAAGACTTTTCCAACGACCCACCGCCGTCTCCGGCGACTTTTCCGATTCCGCGAAGCTTTGTTTTTCTTTAATCTTCTTTCTTCCCAAGATGGAGTATTTATACGATTCATCATCCATCTTGAGGGGGAGCACTGTCCAAGTTGCTGATGTTGTCTGCGCTGATGTTAATTCCGACACTGAAGTTCCTCTTGAGGGGGAGCACTGTCCATGTTGCTGATGGTCATTCCAGCACAATTGTCTTTGCCGATGATAATTCCGGCACTGTTTAGAAGTTCCTCTTGAGGGGGAGCACTGTCCATGTTGCTGATGGTCATTCCAGCACAAATTGTCTTTGCCGATGATAATTCCGGCACTGTTTAGAAGTTCCTCTTGAGGGGAGCACTGTCCATGTTGCTGATGGTCATTCCAGTACAATTGTCTTTGCCGATGATAATTCCGGTAGTTTAGAAGTTCCTCTTGAGGGAGAGCACTGTCCATGTTGCTGATGGTCATTCCAGCACAAATTGTCTTTGCCGATGATAATTCCGGCACTGTTTAGAAGTTCCTCTTGAGGGGGAGCACTGTCCATGTTGCTGATGGTCATTCCAGCACAATTGTCTTTGCCGATGATAATTCCGGTAGTTTAGAAGTTCCTCTTGAGGGGGAGCACTGTCCATGTTGCTGATGGTCATTCCAGCACAATTGTCTTTGCCGATGATAATTCCGGCACTGTTTAGAAGTTCCTCTTGAGGGGGAGCATCGTCCATGTTGCTGATGGTCATTCCAGCACAATTGTCTTTGCTGATGATCATTCCGACATCTTCCATGTTGATGTTCATTTCGACGCCATTTTTAGCACATTGTTGATTTTTGGTTTCTCATTTAGGAGATTTATTTTGATGTTATGTTACTTGGTCTTTCTTGTAATAAGCTTGTAGCATAGTCAAGGGGAAACCACGGCTGCTCACCAACTGTTAAATGAAATGTCTGAGAGGGATCTTGATGCTGATGTCCTGGTCAGCTCAGTTGTCTTTGCCGATGATAATTCCGGCACCATCCATGCTCTGATGTCCATTCCAGCACTGTCTCTTTATCAGCTCTTCACACTGATGGCCATTCCAGTTGATTTGTTGTACTTAGTCATTTCATTTCGTTGATGTAGCATTGTTGTTTTTGGTTCCTAATGGGAGTATTATTTATGTATCAAGCTTGTAGCATATGATCTATATGCTACAGCTTGAGGGGGAGTGTTAAGAGTGTTAGTGTTAATAGTGTAGAAGTCCCACATTGAGTCTGTCTCTTTGTATTCTTCAATTGGTTTGCTATATAATAGCACCAATGTTGTGTAGTTTAATACAACAAGGATTACTATCATTTCCTCTTGTATCTATGATATTCAACACATCCGATGAGCAGCTGGATAACAATATGATTCGTCATTCTTGACACGACATATGTGGCCATTTGTAGATTGACATAGTCAAACTCGTCATTTGTCAGTTCATGATCAGAAAACTTTCATTATCTGCATAAAATTGTGGAATATCTTAGATTTAGTCACGAGCTTCATGAATCTAACAATTGTCAATGTAACTCATTCGAACAGAAAAATAATCTCTTGCCATTCTTGTTGTGAAAGCCTTCTTCCAAGGTCATCTTGGGGACTCAATAATATAGCAACTTCAATGAACCTATGAACCATCAAGACTACCCATTTTCAACTTCCAAATTGTCCTTTTAGTAGTTCTTTTGTTATTTTTGTCACTTATATTTTTAAGAAACCAAACCTTCAACAAACAAGTAATAAAGATGTAAAAATCCTTACTAAATTTTAATTTAGTCGAGAGTAATTTTGTCATAAACAATTCCATGTCAATGATGAGTTCCATACAGGAGAGTTCATTCTGAATCCCCTTATATTCAATTTATATGCAAAAGTAAAATGATCGTAAGTGACGAAAACTTAATTGTTCGGAGGGTAGCTTGTTACATCACGTGTTTACATTCCCCTATTGTTGAGATATATAAAACCATTAATGTAGCCTCACCCAACAACTTAAGCTTTTGGGTTGAATTGGTTCTTTATATGGTATTAGAGCCTCGTGTCCCGGGTTCGATCCTCATCGCCCCCCACTTTCTTTCTAGTGGAATTTCTTTCTTCGCACAGGTAAGTGGGCCGGTGCATTGTCCATCCTTCCAGGCCAGTGGGCTCTCGTGTGAGGCCAACAGCTTAAGTTTTTGGGTTGAATTGGTTCTTTACACCTATGCATTTCAAATGACCGATAAATCTTCGAACATCCTGATGAAGTAAAAAGCCATGTCTTTGTAATGTTATATATCAAGTAGCTATGATATTTCAATTCATAAATTATCTCAAATACCCAAACACTGATCTTATCATCAATCCAAAAGGAAACCAAGCCATAAATCAAATGCCTAAGTAACAATATGCACTTGCAACCTAAAATCCCCACGTCAGGTCAAGAAGTAGAATATTTCAAGCAATTATCATGAAATCATCGAATGCTTGTTGACAAAAGATGAGGAGTAAAGAGCCGAGCAAGCAATTTCTGGAGCTCAATGCGCAATCAAGCAATTTTCACCTTAGTACCATTCCTTGAGCTAAGCCGTCGAATTGATTTATTAATCTTCAAAAAAACTTATATTTGGTATATTATATTTATACATTTATAATATTTTGGTTTCGCTCACTCCACCTGAATTTGGGAGCACAAACTGGGCCTTTGAGGGGAATAGAGAGGAAACCTATTTCCTAGAGTTTCTTTCTCGTCCCATCAAATTGTTAAACTCCCAAACATTAGTAATACCTGATTGCGTGCTAGTAAAACTGGTTTCAGAATTCATCATTTTTTTTTAAGAAAAGAAGGAACAATTAAGTTGATATGGTGATATGACAGTGACAGTGCTAGCATATATGATTGTGAATTTGCCATAGATAAAAAAATTTCTTCTCTTCAAAAGTGTTTTTGGCAAAATATTGTTCTTCATTGAATTGAATATATCCAGTATGAATTATTTCATTCATGCAGAGTGATGACATGTCTGACGAAGGGAAGACTATTACCCCAACAGAGTTTCAGGTTCTCGCACTAGCATTACATTTTCACTAGTTCATGAATACTATTATAGCTATGGACGGTTGTACATTTACACTGAAGTATCCGATAAGTATTACCAAATTGTATTGAAAAAGAGAGAGATGTAATCCAATAAGTATTACTGCATCACGTCAAATCATAATCAACACTTTTTTTTCCTTTTGCTTTTTCTTAGCTTATTTTTCTTTTGTACGAGGCTATGAGCCTAGCAGCTTTCATATTAAAACATAATTTTACTGTCTCAACTAAGATTTGCTGAAGAATTTTGTCTTACACTTCAATCAAATTTATAGATGTTACTTTCAATTTGTTCAAGGAAAAAAATGTTATTATTTTTCTTGAAATGTGAAAAGCATATTAATGAAATATTATGCGGTATTGCTGTGAAATTTGTTCTTTTATAGGTCAATGAGGTTGATTTGACTGAGATTCAAGGTGGAGAGGTTGCAATCACCAATTTGCATTCTTGCAATGGCCCTGAGTTTGTTTTACAGCTTCATCTTTCCTTAGTACCCGACCATGATGGCATCAAAAGTGCAGGTAACCTTTTCTTATCTTAATGAACACTAGTTCTCTCTAGCAATGTTTAGTGTATGATATATGGTAATGCTATATCATGTGTCTAATATGTTAATACGTTTAATCATTTTATATAATTAACTGCACAGAAATTTGAATGTCTACTTCTACGAGGGTAACTATATTTCAGGTTCAAGAGAATTCCAAGAAGCAAATGCACGCTTGAGGTTTCTATATTTCCCATTCACAGAGGTAACGAACATAGTATACAGTACAAGTCTATCCTAGATCTCATGTTCTAGACCAATTAAATGAATATTTTTATGTTACAGGGAAAGGAGAATATTGAGAAGGTTTTGGAAAAGCTAATGGCTGATGGTTTTGTAAGAAGAGAAAACTTCCAAGGCTTTAGTCGAGTATCTATTAGGCGGCTTGGTCGTCTACTTCCAGATGCTCGATGGGTAAAAATTCGAACCTTGGCTTATAAATTGTATAGATAATTGCCCTTGCACTAAGGTTTTAGTAGCTGTTTCCTTATGAAAGCTGTATGATTTCTTTGTCATGAAATCTGAATGAAGATGATACGATCCCAGCTTTAGGGGTGCATTTGAGGAAACATTATAGGAGAATTCCCTTTTTTTGTGTGTGCTTTCAAATTTTGCCAATGTGGTATAAATATACTGTATTAATGAACTGGGCTGGTACTATTCTTATACTTTAACTCATATATGAGTATAAATGAGAGTATTCTTATACTTTACCTCATTAAACCAACATGACAATTAATTGTATGTCCTATTTCTCTTTTCTGATTTTCTTCTTTTCCCTGTAATTTGAACGGTTACCATCACTTACAGTTCATGCTCTAAAATGCATTTCTGTTTTGAAACTGTTTTTTATTGATATCTCAGTGTATATATCATGCGTCAATTTGCAGTGCCTTACGTAACCTACTTTCTGATGTAACCACACTAGCATGAAATTTCCCTTTGGCTGAATTTTTATTTGGTTCTAATAAATTTTCAATCTAAGTAGCTGCTCCTAAGTTTAAAACACGGCTTGTTTCAAACCAGTTTGTATGTTGGGTTTTATCTGTCAGCTCACATGAGGGAAAAATTAGACTACACAAAAAATCTTACTTATGGTTGGTATAAACTTAAGCTTTTGAATAAGCCTTCTTTTTATTAAATTTGGGCTACATTATCTTAGTATTGGACACCAATCATGACATCGACAGCCAGCAGGCTTAGATATAGAGGGATAAGAGGAGGTTTGATCATATACATACAATGAATGCAATCAGAAATTATAATAATTCTATATGCTGGCCAGGTCTTTAATATGTTTCATTTTACTTTTAGTTTATATAAATTAACTATTCTGGCATTCATTAGACTTTCGTCTTATAGTTATTTTATCTTTTAATCATATTTTTTCAATGATTGCTATTGACTTGCATTTTTTTATTTTATTTATATTTTGCCAGACTTTCCTTCCATTTATGGACTTAAGAAACAAAAAGGGAAACAAGGCTAACATATTGAAGAGATGTTCGTTAAGGGTGAAATGCTTCATTGGTATACCATAGTCACGATATGTTCCCTCTTACTTTCGTAATTACTATTTGTTTCTTTGCTCGGTCTCGAGTTTGACGTTCTAATTTGCAGAAACTGATGCTGGTTTTAAGCCAACACTGTCCAAGGTTAGGCTTGCCATACTTGAACATATTACTAAATAAATGTGCTATTATGTGTCCTTTACTATTTTGACCTTTGTTTTTATTTTTGAATCTACCTGTTAAATTATTTTACCCGCCCAAACAGATCTATGCTAACTAACTACCCGTGGGCCTATCACAATCATTATATGTTTTATTGCCAACTAAAAGTGTAACAGGAGCTACGTGAGCTATTATGACGTGCTTGAACTGAACCTTTCTTTATATCAATTATGTTTGCTTTTATTCTGTGGTATTACATTTGTTATTACTTTGAGATTTTAATTCTTGAGTGATACAACTCCCCCTAAATTTAAGACTTACCATAGGATTTTTAGGTAATTACACTTACTGAACAAACTCAATGATGACTTAGCTGCTGAATCATCCAATGGTGGTAAATTGGAAAAACGGTTAGAGGGGTTGGAGTTAAAAGGAACACATATGGAACGAGGGAGCATCTTATGACACATTTGAGACTTAGCCTTCGTAGAGATGAGAGGCTCTCTAAATCCTCTGAATCTACCTTTACTTTCTTCTTCTTTTTTCCTCCAATTTGTGAACATCAAATTGTGATGTTCTTCCTTACTTAATTGTAAACCCTTGATGCATATCCCTATTGAGTTCTGAATGAAACTAGTTACATGGTGGTGACACGAACGATGGACCACATAATGGAGGCTATGGAAACTTGTATTGGAGGACTAAGGAGGCAATACAGAGAGTGGAGGCTGGATTGGCTGATGTTCTTCAAACGCTTCAAGAGCTCGCTGTCGATAGGAACAAACAAAAATCTGCTAGCCGTTCACACAGAGGAAAAGAGGAACGAAGGAGTGGGGATTCATTTGGATCAGAAGATGGGATTTAAGGCTAAGAAAACAGAGATGAATGTTTATGATTGGTTGAATCGAGTCGACAGGTACTACGAAGTGAACCATATGGATGATAGGGAGAAATTACGTGCTATTGTGATCATTTTGGAAGGAGAATCCCTCCATTGGTTCAGGTGGTGGGAACGGAATACTGTTCAGGCTACTTGGGGATCATTTTGCCTTGAGGTCTTAAGCCGGTTCCAACTAGACTTAGAAGGAAACTCACTCTATGAAATGCTAATCCTTCATTAAAATAGGAGCATGCATGATTATCATCGTGATTTCGAGAGAATCAGGGTAGCTCACAATTTGGTTGAATGGCTTGACGAGTTGCATCAGGGAGGAGCTCTTGGTTCTTCCATTGGACTCATTGCCGACGATGATGAAAAATGCCCAACGCATTGAGAGGCACAACTGGGCTTGTGCTATAGAAGGTCTAGGAGGAACAAAAATTACAAGCTCAAGGGGATCCAATAGGGGAGCCCAATTTCATGGAACCTTTTTTTTTTTTTTGTCAAACTAATTCGGGTTAACTTAACTCACGGGTTGGGGCAAACCAAAATAACTCTTTAACGCAGCTTCTGCCATGCAAGGACCTTCGAGAATCCAGCCAATCACACTAATGAACCTTGATCCGGCCAATCCTTTGCAACGTCAAACTGAGAGTCATGCCCGTAAAAAGAACCAGACTAGAACTAGAACCTATCTCAAGCGGAGTTGCAGGACCGGTCTCGTAAAGGGTTGTGCTCCATTGCGAGGAACGGTGGAACCTAGGCCACCGTTGTTGTGTGAAATAACTGAATCTTCTCATTATGGAGGAAGATGTTAGAGAAGACGACATGCAAACCTCAAAGACCATAGCAGAAGGTGATTATGGAAACAATGGTGAAGAAGTGATGTTGCAACTTCCTTCACAGTGTCTGTTGGGCTTGATTACGAGCCAAACCATGTGCGTTTGGGGAGAGGTTGAAGGTAGGAATATGGTTGTGCTCATAGAAGTGGCACATCTCATAATTTCATCAAATAAGATATGGCTGAGCAACTTCAACTAAGGGTGGAGGCTACTCCCAATTACCAAGTTAAAGTAGGCAATGAGGATTGTCTGAAATGCAGTGGGGTCTGACGTGGGGTTGAGATTCTAGTTCAGGAAGTAGTAGTGGTACAAGAATTATTCCTTTTCAGCCTTGTTGGTGTGGACGTGGTACTTAGGTTGAATTGGCTGCAAGGTTTTGGCAACTTTACAGCTAACTTTTGCGATTTGATATTGGGTTTCAACTTTCAAACAAGAGGGACAAAAAGTCCTCATTAGAGTTAAGCCCAAGCTTCCCTAATTGGAAGCATTATTCGAATCAGTGGTAAAGGAAATCAGAGATGATGGGCAAAGGTTCTTCTTGCACTCTTCAAGGGAGGTTCCTTGGGACCCAGGAAGCTAGAGTCATTGGGAAGAGCTAGAACAACTACTAAGGGAGTTTGAGGATATATTTGTGACACCATCTGGGGGACCTTCTAAGCGTAGTCATGATCACGCCATTGTCCTCAAGGCTGGCTGTAAGGTTCCTAATATTAAGCCTTGAAGGTACCTTTTCACCAAAAAGAAGAAATTGAAAAAATATAGTTGAATTATTGAATTCTAGATTAATCCTACCTAGTGTGAGCACTTATTCTAGTCCAGTTGTTTGTGTTGATTAAAGAAAGCTAAATAAGATTACAGTGCCTGACATATTTTCGATGCCTATTATTGATGAATTGATAGATGAGATTGGAGGGTCTAGTATTTTTTTCAAATTTAGATTTGAAATCTGGATAAAAGGGGAGGATATTGAAAGACTGCTTTCATGACCCATGAAAGGCATTACGAATACCTTGTAATTCTTTTCAGGTTACAAATAATAATATCCCTTCCATGTTCCAATCATCCAGAGCGACAAAAATGGATATCCAAGCTAATGGGCTTTGATTTTGAAGTGCAATATCATCCTGGCCAAGATAATGTCGGGACTGACTCTCTCTCTTGCGTAGAATGCAACAACTTTCTATTTCAATGGTTAAGCTACCCGTGATAGAACAAATTGAAGAGGAATAGAAGGAAGATCCCAAGTTGAGGCAATTTATACTTGATATATTAAATGCTCTTTCCAGCCATCAACCCTTCCTAGAAGGGAAATCGTTGTGCAATGATAATCTGGTGGTTCTAAAGGAATCCAAACTAATTACATTGTTACTTTTGGAGTTTAATGACACCTTTTTGTGGAGGACACTTTGGATTCTTCAGAACCTTCAAAAGAATTTCCAATCTGGTTTACTGGGAAAGGATGAAAAAAACCATACAAGCTTATGTAGCCAGTTGTGTGGTTTGTCAAAGAATAAAGCTTTGAATCTGTCGCATGCTGGACCTTTGCAACCTCTTCCAATTCCAAATTAGGCATGGTCTGATATCTCCCTGGATTTCATAGGGGGACTGTCTAAGGCATGTGGATATGATACAATCTTGGTGGTGGTAGACAGGCTCACAAAATATGTCCATTTTATGCCACTTTATCACCCTTAAAATGCCTAAGAGGTGATTGATTTTTATTTCCAATATTGTCAAATTACATGGCTTCCCCAATGCTTTGTCTCTGATAGAGACTTGGTGTTCCTTAGCCATTTCTAGGTAGAACTTTTTGAACAGGCTGAGACCTTATTTAAATTTAGTACAACATATCCTCCCAATCCAACTGATAAACGAAAGTTGTCAATAAATGCCTGGAAACCTATATCAGGTGTTCTTGCCATCCTAAGCCAAAACAAGGGCCTCGTTGTTTGCATTGGGCAGAGTACTGGTATAATACCATGTACAAGTCATCCTCAGGTATCATGCCCTTTAAGGCACTCTATGGGACTGATCCTCCATTGGTCTTTTGAGTAGGACATGTTGCCATGGTAGCAGAAGTAGAGAAGTTTCAGCAAAACAATGACCTTATCTTGCAAAAACTGTAGCAAAACTTGACGAAATCCCAAAACCAAATGAAGGTTTAGGCCAATAAGTATAGAAGAGATATCTAGTTGGAGGTAAATGATATGGTGAATTTGCAAATTCAACCATACATGCTTACAACCGTAGCTAGAAGAATTAATGAAAATCTCGGCCCGCGTTATTATGGCCCTTACAAAGTGTTAGAATGGGTGGGATTTGTAGCATATAGATAGACTTACCCTCTATTGTCTTATTCATCCTATATTTCATGTTTCTTTGTTGAAAAAGGTAGTTTAGGTTTCTGATCAGGTCCAACCTTTGCCTCCAATGAGGTAGTAGGAGTTTGAGTTTCAAGTGACATCTACCAAAGTCTTTAAGTGGAGAAAAACAAGCGATTCTGTGGAAGTTTTGATGAGGTGAAAAGACTTGCTCCTTTTTGAGGATTTTTGGAAGGAATCTTATTTGTTGCATCAACAATTCCCTCTTTCTACCTTGAGGAGAAGGTGCTTGAATTTTGGGAGGGGGGTATTAATACGATTCCCCTTAATTTAAGACTTACCATATGAATCGTTTCAAGGAATTACACTCACTTAACAGCCTCAGTGATGACTCAGCTGCTGAATCATCAAGTGGTGGGAAATTGAAAAAGTAGGTAAAGGGAGTGAAGTTAAAAGGAACACGTATGGAATGGGGGAGCATCTTTTGGCACATTTGGGACTTGGACTTTGGAGAGATCAGAGGCTCTCAAACTTCTCTTGATCTATTTACCTTTACTTTCTTTTCTTTTTTTTCAATTTGTGAACATCAAATTCTGATGTACTTCCTTACTTTATTATAAAACCTTGATGTATTTCCTTATTTTATTGTAAATCCATACTAGTGATGAGTTTTGAATGAAAACAAGTTACTGTTTCATACGAATTCCCGAATTAATTGATTCTGTTGTCACATTAAGCTTCAATACTAAGATGAATTTGTTCATAGATATTCATTTGGCTTGGTAAGTTGTTACATTATGTAGCAAGCAAAATATATAGTTCAAGAACCAATTAACTCTGCATATGGAAAACTGTTGGTTGTGTTAGCTTCCATTATAGTAATGACTTACAATTTTTTTGTTTTTATATTGGTTACTGTTACGTGATATAAGTATAAAGACATTTGTATGTTCGGCTTAAGAAAGCCCAAGTGCACATATTTTTTTATGCGAGAGTAAAATTCAAAACACTATTTAACTATATATAATTGGAAATTGAAAAATGAATCTGCTCTTCCCTTTGTTGAATAGGATTGACTATGTATGCATACAAAATTGATCTTGACCTTTATTTTCTTTCTAATTTAATGATCAACAACTAACTCTTGACTTTTCAGACTGATCTAGCACACCATAATCCTTTTACCACTACTTTGAAGAACTTAGGCAATAAGGCCTCTGACAAAGAGAAGGGTACTTTCTTGGTTTTGATTCCTATGATACTGTTTTAACTTCATTGTCATGATTATTAGATATTATCCAACTCATCGATTATTTAAAATCAACAGATGTTATTGTTGAAATTAGAAAGAATACAAAAGTATTAACTCCTTTACAGTTAGAAAAGGAGTACCAGGAGTGGATATTACAAATGCATGATCAGTATGATGAAGAAGCTGATTCTGGTGAGGATCAACCAACTATCATCGTCAGTCCTACAAACAAAAAGGCACTTTGTATCTCTTCAGATGGTATGTGTGGAGGACTAACCAGATTTTGATATCCTCCCCTCCTCCCCCCTCCCCCCCCCCCCCCCCCCAAAAAAAAAAATATAAAGAAATAGAAAATGGACAAATGCTCCTTTGCAGTGGAGCAATTCAAAGTTTTGAAGGAAACCAAGTTGTCCTTTTCCTTTTCTAACTTAGAGGAAGTCCTAGTCTCCCTAGTCCGTCCTCAATCTTAAGAAAAAAAAACCTTGTTGATCCTCTTATACACTAAACTTGTGATATTGACATAACAAAAGTTCACTTTTGTGTAGTCTCTCGAAATAAAAATGCCATCGTATGTTATTTTTGTTTCTATTGAACAAAATCATATCCACTTTTATTTGATCATCTTTTTCCTTGTCAATATGCAGTTATTAGAGTTCATCAGGTTCTGAAGAGAAGGGAAAAGTATTGGAAGCGGGGACAAAAAGTTAAAGTGTTAAAAGGAGCATGTGCCGGGTGTTACAAGACCACTATTTATGCAACCATAGAGTACTTCTTGCTTGAAGGATTTGAAGGAGACACCGGTGGTAAGCTTTCTGTTTGTACTACATAAGTAATTTGTTAAGTTAGACAACATTCTTTTCTCTCTTAGACAACTTCTTGCTTGTGATTTTGGTTAATAGAATATGTGATTTTGTGATCCCGGAGAATCCCAAGAATTTTGAGAGTGCAGAGGCGAGGACTAGACTCACTAGTGAGAAGAGTGCTTTGAAATATGAACACCCCAATCATACCTAGATAAAAAAGTGTAGGTAATAGCAAGAAAGGTCAACAATAGTAGAAACGCAGACAAGTAATGCGGGGAATAAATTCCTCTATTTTTCTTATCTCAACCAAAATATGCACCCTAAACTCGCAGGCTAGATACACAAAAAGACAAAGGCGTGATGAACTGATGATCTACCTAAATAGTATATATAATGCAGTCTCTGTTCTGTAGTGATTGTTTGCATGGAAACAACTTTGATATATAGGCTTTGGTTATAATTTCATTCAAGTCTTCTTCATTTGGAGCATCCAATTCAAAGTCGTCTACTTTTACATCTTCCAAATCATCATCAAAATTATATTCAATAGATTGTCTAGATTTCTTCTTGGCCAATTTTGTTATCAACTATCACAAAAACATCATTCATGCTTCAAACGATTTCTTTTCTTTGTGTGGACCTAAACAAATACAAAGCAATTAATACACAACTCATATCATATGTTTGATATGAAATATAGTTCATACTTAGTATTATTGAAATTGATCAAATTATACCATCTCAAAGGCACTCCAATTTTTCTCACACCTAAAGGAATTGCATGTCAAGCTTAGCACAAACAATCTTTTGAGCTTTGAAACTTTTATCCCCGTAAGATTCCCACCATGTTGCTGGAGTTTTGGACTCAACTCCCTTCTAGTGCCTTAAAATACCCATTCAATACTTGAATTTTTCAAGTTGCTTATTAATCTTACTTGCATCATCAATACTCCCTCCCATCCTTTGGATAACAATCATATACTCCTAGTTTTACTTCAAGATCAATTTCAAATAAAGGAGAATAATGATGTTTGGGGTTATGGTAATAGCCTGTAGCATGTGAAGGCCTATGGAGTTTCTTGTCTCATCTTTCATCAATGACATCCTATATCAGCTTATAACTAAATAATGAAAAAAATTGAATTAGTTTTGAAACAAAGAATAATTTTTTTTACAAATTTTCAATTAAAATAAAACTTGATCAATTATAATTTTTGGACATTATTGAGGGCTTATTGAATTTTCTCTTTAGCCAAATCCATCTTCTCATCAATGAATCCCATGGCCGCTTTCTCATCGAATAAACTAATCGAAGCACTTTCATAAAAAGAAGAGCACACTTAAAGCAAATGTCAACGTTTTTCCAAAACTCTTTGTTCATAGCCACATCTTCTATAAGCTTTGAACATTCTTATCCGGGGAAGTTTGTTCTCATGAAGGCATTCTAAAGCCAAGTAAGATGTGGCAAAGCGAGTCATGATGGGTCTAATCAAATCTTTGCCTTTGGTGAAGCTCTGCAATAACGAAATGAGAGAAGTCATTGAATATAAATAAGTTGCAACTTTCCCCCTTAGGAATTGTTTCTTGATGAACCGATACCCTCGCTAAATTTTCTAACATCAAGTCAATGCAATGTGGTGCACAAGGTGTCCAATACTTCTGTTAGAATATATTAGATATGATTAGATATGATTAGTATGATTAGATATGATTAGAATCTGTAATTATTCTGATTGTATTAGGTCTGGACCTTTCATATAAGCCCATTAGAGTCTATATATTGTAACCCTCTGAATTAGATCAATACACAACATATTATTTTATATTCAAGTTGGTACCAGAGCTCTTTCGTTCTGGGGACCCTCGCTTCTGCTTAGAAACCTTGTTTTTGCTTTAAAACCTAAGCCCACTGCTTAGGAGTCCTCTTTCTTGCCGTGCGTCCTTCCAGCAAGCCATCTAAGGCTGTAAACAGCCTCTGAGTAATTTTTCCAAACGCGTCAGCACCTCCGACGGTCACCGGAACCACCGCCCGCCACCAGAATCACTGTTCAGGCCACCGGAGACTTTTTCTGGCGAATTTTCCGACCAAACTTCACGCGATCAGGACCGTCTCTTCCCGGCGACCAGGTCTGTGGAGGTCCGGTCAGCAATGCACCTCTCACGCGCCTCCAAGCTCCTCTGCGCGTGGGCCTCACGCGCCACCTTCTGCCGGCGCGTGAGCCCTTTTCCGACGGCTTTTTCCGGCCGGTCTTGGACAGAGAAGCTCGCCTTCTCCTGCTCTTTCTGGATCTGTGGTTGTTTTGGTGTCGGTCTGACTTTTTGCGCGCACCCCTTGATCAGTGATCAGGTTCGTTCCTATTTACTCGGTTTATATCTTTCTGATTTCTTATTATGGCAGCAAATGGTTCTGTTCATTCGGAGGTCAATTCTCCACCTCCTCCTGTCAAAAGTTCTCCCAATATCATCTCTACCAATGTTGGGTCCATTACCTCTTCAAAATTGAAGGGTTCTGTTAATTACAAGAACTGGGCCACCTCTGTTCGAGTTTGGTTCTTTGGACAAGGACATGGGAGCCACCTCACGACTAAGTCTACTGATGTTCCTAAGGAGGAAAAGTCTGATTGAGAAAAGATAGACAACCAGCTTCTGAGCATCCTCTGGCAATCTATTGATCCAGTTGTCTTGGACATCTTCTATTCATTTCAAACTTGTACTGAAGTGTGGCAGGAAGCAAAAAACCTCTATACTAATGATGTTCAGCAGCTCTATTTCATCATCTCTCAGTTTATGGAACTGAGCAAATCATCTGACGTTCAGATGGAGACATATGTTGGCAAGAGTCGATCTTTGATGCAGGCATATTTGGATATGTTACCTTACCCTACTGATGCTACTGCATATCGGAAACAGGTGGAACGCCTCTTTATGGTTGCCACACTGTCTGGCCTCCCTGAAGAATATGATAATGTTCGGGATACTATCTTGACTAGTGGGGAGCCTGATCTTTCAATGACGTATCAGCGTCTTCTGAATCTGAATAAGAAATCTGCTCCTGCATCATCTTCTGCTGTTGATTCTACTGCTCTAGTTTCCCGTACTGACTTTCGCGGGAACATTGGAGGTGGACGTGGTCGTGGTAGAGGCCCGGGAGGACGTGCTCCAGGAGCCCCAGGAGGGCGTGACCCAGAAGGCCTAGTCGGATGTGTTCAGCGACCTCGTTGTAATTACTGTCAGCAACTTGGTCATTATGAGGAACGTTGCTACACAAAGTACCCTCACCTACGACCTTCTTATGCTGCTAATATAGCTCAATCGGATTTTGCTTCAAATGGTACAGTCTCTCTCTCCTCTGAAGACTATGCAGCATTCCAGACTCTTCTCAGAAAGGTCTCTCCTCAGTCTCAGGCCTCTGCTTCAAAAACTGGTAATCCCGTTGCTTGTGTTTCTCATTCTGCATCACTTGGCCCTTGGATATTTGACTCAGGTGCTACTGATCACCTCTGTGGTAATAAGGTACCCTTTTCATCCCTTACATATTCTGATAGCTTACCCTCTTTTACCCTTGCTGATGGCACTAAGGCTCCTGTTCATGGAATTGGACCAATCTGTCCAACCTCTTCATTGACCTTAACATCTGTCTATTACATTCCTAACATCCCTTACAATTTAATATCTGTTAGTAAATTGATCAACTCTCTTAACTGTATTGTCACTTTCTCAAATCATTCTGTTTCTGTGCAGGATCCGGGTACGGGGAAGACGATTGGAGTGGGCCGTGAGTCACGGGGTCTGTTCTACCTGGTTGTGCCGAGTCCTTCCGTTGCTTGTTCTCTCACAGAATCTCCACAACTCATCCATAGTCGCCTCGGGCATCCTAGTCTTTCCAAGTTACAGAAGATGGTTCCTCTTTTGTCCGGTCTTCAGACTTTAGATTGTCAGTCATGTCAGCAAGGAAAGCACATACGCTCCTCCTTCGCTAATCGAGTCAATAAACGAGCTGATGCTCCTTTTTCAATTATTCATTCAGATATTTGGGGTCCTAGTCGTAGTGTGTATGTTTTAGGTTTTCGGTATTTTGTTACCTTTATTGATGATTTTTCTTGTTGTACTTGGATCTCTTTAATGAAAAACCGTTCTGAGTAGTTTTCTATTTATCAAAAATTTTCTGCTGAAATTCATATTCAATTTGGTGCCTCTGTTCGTATTTTACGTAGTGATAATGCTAAGGAATATGTTTCTGTGGACTTTTCTAATTTCTTAGCCAAACAGGGTACTTTACACCAAACTACTTGTCCTCACACTCCACAACAAAATGGAGTAGCTGAACGTAAGAATAGACACCTCATTGAGACTGCACGGACTCTTCTTATTCACATGTGTGTTCCTCTTCACTTCTGGGCCGATGCAGTCCTTGCCTCTTCTTTTCTCATCAACCGTATGCCTTCATCTGTGCTTGATAATGACATTCCTTATCACTTATTGCTTCCAGATGTTCCTCTCTATCCTCTATCCCCACATGTCTTTGGTTGTACCTGTTTTGTTCATGATCTCACCCCTGGTAAGGACAAGTTAACATCCAAAGCCTTTAAATGTATTTTTCTTGGTTATTCTCGTCTTCAAAAGTGTTATCGTTGTTATTCTCCAGATCTTAAGCGTTACTTAGTTTCCGCTGATGTCACTTTTCTTGATCAACAACCCTTTCATTCTATCCCATCTCAGTTGTCACAGGTTGATTATGTTCTTCATGTCCCTTTTCTTGACTTGTCTTTGTCAGCTGCAGGTACTTCTATTCCAGATAAGCAACCTATTGCTTCAATTCCTGCGGACCGTCCATTTCTCACTTATCAGCGTCGTAAAACTGTGCCTCCTGTCGACTCAACTCCTGCTGACTCATTGCCCCCCTGCAGTTGATTCTTCCCCTCCGGATCCTTCACCAGAGGCTCTTCATATTGCTCAAAGAAAAGGTACACGTACTACTCGTAACCCTTATCCTCTTTATACCTTTTTGAGCTATGACCGTCTTTCTTCACCTCATTTCACCTTTGTTTCTAGTCTTTCTTCTATTTCTATTCCTAAAACCACAGGTGAAGCACTTTCCCATCCAGGGTGGCGCCAAGCGATGCTTGATGAGATGATTGCACTTCATTCCAATGGCACTTGGGACCTTGTTTCTGCTCCTCCAGAGAAGTCTATAGTTGGTTGTCGCTGGGTGTTTACTGTAAAAGTTGGACCTGATGGTCATGTTGATCGACTCAAGGCACGCCTAGTTGCCAAGGGTTTTACTCAAATCTTTGGCCTTGATTATGGCGATACATTCTCTCCGGTCGCTAAGATGGCGTCAGTCCGCCTATTTCTTGCCCTTGCTGCTGTTCGTCACTGGCCACTCCTTCAACTTGACATCAAAAATGCCTTTTTCATGGTGATTTGCAAGAGGAAGTTTACATGGAGCAACCACCTGGTTTTGTTGCTCAGGGGGAGTCTGGAAAAGTGTCTCGTTTTCGAAAATCCTTATATGGTCTCAAGCAATCTCCTCAAGCATGGTTCAGTCACTTCAGTTCTGCCGTTCAGGCGTTTGGCTTAATCCGCAGTAAAGTTGATCATTCTGTATTTTATAGGATTACATCTCCTGACAAGTGCATCTATTATTTAGTCTATGTTGACGACATCATTCTCACCGGAAGTGATCAAGACGGAATTCGTCAGTTAAAACAGCATTTATTCAGTGCATTTCAAACAAAGGACCTTGGGAAGCTGCGTTACTTCTTGGGAATTGAGGTGGCGCAATCTAGACAAGGCATTTCTATTTGTCAAAGGAAGTATGCCTTGGATATCCTCGAAGAAACTGGTATGTTGGGGAGTAAACCGATTGATACACTCATGGATCCTAATGTCAAGTTATTACCCGGACAGGGGGAGCAGTTATCTGATCCTGGACGTTATCGGAGGCTGATTGGGAAGCTCAATTATCTTACTGTGACTAGGCCAGATATTTCTTTCGCTGTTAGTACGGCTAGTCAGTTCCTTGATTCCCCTTGTGAATCACATTGGGTTGCTGCTGTGAGGATCCTCCGATACATCAAAGGAGCACTAGGAAAAGGTTTGCTGTATTCAGATCAGGGAAATACAGAAATTTGTGGTTATTCAGATGCTGATTGGGCAGGATCACCCTCGGACAGGCGCTCTACTTCCGGCTATTGTGTCTTCTTTGGAGGAAACTTAATTTCGTGGAAGAGCAAGAAACAACCTGTAGTTGCTCGGTCTAGTGCAGAAGCTGAGTATCGTGCAATGGCAAATACTACCTGTGAGTTAATCTGGTTAAAGCAGTTGATTCAGGAGCTTCATCTTTGTGAACAGAAACAACCCATGACACTCTTCTGTGATAATCAAGTTGCGCTACATATATCCTCTAATCCTGTCTTTCATGAGAGGACCAAACATATAGAGATTGATTGTCACTTCATTCGAGAAAAGATTCAATCAGGAGAAATCAAGACTGCTTTCGTCAACTCCTCTAATCAACTAGCGGATGTCTTCACTAAAGCTCTTAGAGGTCCTCGGGTTCAATACATTTGTGACAAGCTTGGTGCTCACAATATATACGCACCAGCTTGAGGGGGAGTGTTAGAATATATTAGATATGATTAGATATGATTAGTTTGATTAGATATGATTAGAGTCTGTAATTATTCTGATTGTATTAGGTCTGGGCCTTTCATATAAGTCCATTAGAGTCTCTATATATTGTAACTCTCTGAATTAGATCAATACACAACATATTATTTTATATTCAAGTACTTCAAAATCCATCTTCTTATAAATGAATCCCGTGGCCGCCTTCTCATCGAATAAACTAATCGAAGCACTTTCATAAAAAGAAGAGCACACTTAAAGCAAATGTCAACGTTTTTCCAAAATTCATTGTTCATAGCCACATTCTTTTCTCCATCAGCAACTCTCCATCAGGTTCATAATTTGTCTGTCATAACTTGGATATCATTTTTTCACCAACCTGATTAACCACTTCATCAATCATCTTAAAAAATTTGTAAGCTTACGAACACGATTCCCATTAGGGTATTCACTCAAAAATTTATTATTGTTCTCCTTTTTTTATCAGTCCACCCTTCAATCGGTATTAGGCATCCCATTTTCTTCCATTGAGCTCTGTATTCTTAATAGTTGCCATTGCCATATTATATTGTTTCTTCAAACATTTGACTCTGCACTCATAGTAGGATGGTGGCTTGAAACCCAATCAATGTCTTGAAATAGATTCAAAACTGTCAAGACATGCCTCCTCTCTCATATTTTTCTTAAGTATGGTGTTGATGGTTGTTTGAGTAGTTGTTCTACTTTCCTTGAAAATACTACATCCATCTTTATCCCATTTTCTTTTTTCAATTCCAATACTAGACTCTTCTTGTTGTTGTTGTGTGATAGTCTTAGACTTTTTTTAATATTTTTTCTTGCAATCTAGCTATAATATTTAACATTTCGTTCTTTACTTCTTCAGGCATCGCTCTACACGCATAAACATTATATTGTATTTCTGTCAAATGATGTTGTGGTCGTTAATTACCTCTGCTCACTACCGTCTCATAATATTTGCATTGTACTTTTCTTACATCTCCCTCAATTGAAAGCCTATAGCAACTCACAACCAACCACTTTCACAGAGGTCCTGATTGAACCACCATCGCAAAGGTCCTGTAATCCTGATGCAAGTAGCCAAACCAACCACCATCGCACGACCTAGTCTAGTTGCAACAGCCAATAATAGCAAGTCAAATGGAGAAGTCACAAGGCAAAGAAGTCTCAATCGCAATTGCAAATTACAAGATTAGAGTCTTTGAAAATGTTTTTAATCAATTTCAAGTCGTGGGTAACAAAAACGGGTTCTGTGTGCTGAGATTTTTTCCTGAATGAGAAACACTGTGGGATCGCACAATCACACTCATCTTAAGAGTTACACATCGAACCTCGCTCAATCACACCGATCTTAAGAGTTACACATCGAACCTCGCTCAATCACACCGATCTTAAGAGTTATACATTGAACCCATTCATCTTGCTAGGATTACGATCCTAGTTGCAATTTGGACCGATTGGATGTAAAAAATTATAGGATCGGACGATCGTATGATTTAAAACTTGATTTTGACTTGTAACCTTTGGATCCAAGATGTGATAGAGGAGAAACATTTACAGGTTAGCAAATTCCTCACTGACTCGAATTAATTTGTCATGATGACCAAGATTGTTTCTACAAAGAAGTTCAAAGATTGTTGCGAACGAGACAAGGTGGTAATTCGCTCTAATTAATTTGAAAATAGGGAGATTTGCTGGAGTTATTTCTCCTTAATTAGATGCAACATTGGACTATGAAAGGTTAATGACTTTTCAACTTTCCATGCATGGGAAAAAGAAAAGACCTCATGGAAAAATGAAAGGTTACATTGAAATCCTCCTCATTAAAATGAACAACAATTAAGGGCATGGAAGAGAACCTTCCTATCCATCTACAAATAGAGGAGGAGAAGACTTGGAGCACCAAGCAAGAGAAATCCTATTTGAGAGAGAGAGAGAGACTATTAGTAATCCATCCTTCTGTTGGATGAAAATTTGAGTAAACCTCTAAATTTTATACCAGAGAGAAATACCCTCTGTAATCCTATTTTCATAGTGAACGTTTTTTCTTGGAATTGGTCTCGTGATTTTTATTCATTACATTAATGGGGTTTTCCACGTTAAAAAAGTTATGTGTTCTTCATTTGTACTCTTATCTCCTCTTTGGCTTATTTGTAAAAGTAGAGAAAAGCAATTTTTCCCGATAGTGATATCAAAGCCCTTAGATCAAGGGTACTGTAAGAATCAAGAATGGAGGCTAGTGTCATATTGCTAGCCCTCTGTGGTTTACCATTGGAATATTTTTCTGATCAAGATAAGACTTTGGGCTTACTCCCTATTCTCAAGCTGAACACGGTTTTCTGGCAAGCAGCCCTTAATATGCCTCTTCCTTGTTCCCCTTGCACTTGGATCCTAGAGTGCCAATCGCGCTGATATGTTAAGGGCTACCTCCTTTCCGGTAAGCAAATCTCATCCCAGTTAGATAGGATATTTTATATTGAGAATTCACCACTCACTTTATTAGTAGGACTTGCAGGCGGATGTTTTCATTAAGTTCTTGAGTGTTCTAGGACAAGTTACATGTGTTAAACTTGGTGCATCTAACGTGTTTGTTTGATTTGAGGAGGAGTATTTGAATGTGATAAAATAGTGACTAAATTCATTATATAGACTAACCAAATCATATAATTATGGTAAGTAGGATTTTATTTTATTTTTAAGTTTTGCCTTTATTACCTCTTGTCTATTTATATAATTCAGTCTCCATGGTGTAGTCGAACACATGAATTATATAATTTCTCTCTCATTTTGTCTTCCTAACAGAACACGTAGAATTGAACAGCGATAGTGGTGCATTTTAATTGTTTGAAATATATCGCTAAGATTAAACTGGAAATAAATTTTATATCCTATAAGTAAGGAGTCTTAAAAAATATTTATGTAAAATGGATTTTATATGATAATCAATTTTATTATTTTCATTCTTCATTAACAACTGAAAAATGTGAAACAACTTATCGTCTGTTCTTCTGTTGTTTGCATTTGTTTTTGTTTGGTTGATTTTAACGCTTTACAAGTTTAAAGATTAAGTCAAGATGTGCATGAGAAAGTTGCATACTTGAAATTAAGGATAATTTTATTTAGTTAACACTACAAAAAAAGAAACTCCCTTCCCTCGTGTAAAAAAATCGGAAGGTAAAATCTTCGTTAGTTGATGATATGCTTATGCTGTGAATAATATGTTACTTTAGATCAGAAATTAATTTTGACTGCAAAGTGAATTAAATCTGACCAATGTAGTTTCTTTGTTAATAGGAGAAGCTCGAATCATATGCAGGTTAGTTGTACATATTATTTGTAAACTTTGTCCCCCAAAGTTATATAATCCTCTAAAATCGTCACTTCTCAAAATTTATTACCGCTGTTTGTTTGATTTTAAAGGCCAATAGATATCCCAGATGAGAATGGATGTGTCCTTTCTGTGGGTGATGAAGATGCAAGTTTGGACATTCATGGTTCATTGTCTTTACCTTTAACTGTGATCGATTCCGGAAAGGTTCTTTGATTATATTTTAAAGTTCATGTTTTCTATACAGTTGAAAGACTTTCTGAATTCAAAGCAATTTATAACAGTTTGTAGCTGTTGAAAGCATTGAATGGGACAATCGACTTAATAAGAAACAGCAGAAATCTCCTGCTTCAATTGACTTGCTGGGTCCAAGCCATGTTCAACAACGGGAGGTTGATGGGGTTAGTATATCTTTTCAAAAAATATTTACGTCTCTCGTTAAAAGCTTTTATTGGTGATGTGAATAGTGTCTCAGCTCATTGTATTAGTAATGTCTACAATCATTTTACAGGCTAACTTAATCATGTATTCACAATACTTAAAAATCCATTTATCGATACCATGTGAACCTTTACGCTAAAAAACTTATAGGTGTAAGTTTTTTTTCTTAACACCTCCAAATTTCTAACAATAATAAAATATTCATATAATAGAGATATTGTAAAAAAAAAAGAAAAAATAACATTGAAATTATTTAATAAGATTACATAAATATTGCTAAAACTAAATTAAAATCAATTTGAGGAAATGTTATCGCCGCACCTATAACAAGGACAAAGGAACAAGTGCAAGGCTAACTAAAAGATAATCTTATTCCAAAACATATATATTCAATGTAAATATTTAAAAATTTAAATATAAATTAAGAATCTAAATATATCTAATACTTTTGTAATTCCTAAGCCTAGTTTGAAAAGTTTGAGATGTTATCCTCACTCACTGCCAGCGCCAAACTCAAAATCAATAATTAAACAATCAGCAAAAGCTGGTAATCCCAATCTAGAACACAACGAAGATAGTCATAAGTAAATCAATAATTATAATCAACTCAAAATCAATCAAGGCATTTTATTTAGAATAATTATATCTCAATAAATCAGCATAATCAACTCGATGATATTTTAATGGGAAAAATGTTTCTGCAGTTACTGCAGATAAATTATCTGCATTTATTCACAAAATGACATCGTTTTGGTATTGAAATCTTAAAAAATTATAAATATAAATACTATTATAACCCTGAAATAAATTAAAATTACAAAAACACCATGATTTCCGTCCCAAAACGACGTCGTATTAGGCTTACTGCAGATAAGTTATCTGCAGTAACTGCAGAAAAAGCAAACCCTATTTTAATAAGGATAATCATCAACTAACATATTCGGCACAATATTACATAGATGATAATAATCACAAGTCAAATATTCATCATAATCAAATCAAATATCAAATTCTATTATTAATCATGTTTAAGCTCATTTAGTATATTTACTGGGAAGAGAACCATGGTAGACCTAGAGATCCTGCTAGTCTACCCTATGACTCGAATATCTTGCCATTCACATATCAACAATTTGGCCATTATCAAAAACATCTTTTCCTAGTGTACACACCTCTTCCCAAAGTTGCTACTAGTATCCGGATATCCTGTCAGATACCACTTTGAGAAGAACAGATAATCTCTGTCCACATCGTATAAATATATCGGAGGCATAAACCCAAAGGTTATGTTTATCACTTTGGGAGGTACCATCCTAAAGCTATCCTCCCACTATTAATTAATCACAATCACACATAATTTCAATTCAATCATAAATCTCTTATTTAGAAAGTTTCCTTAAGGTGGTGTTTGGTTGAGGGGTTTTTGAAATTATCCCATGCAAATGAAGTTGGCATTCTGGAAAGCACTTGTTTGGTTGACAGAGAAATGGCTGAATACCTAGGCAAGCATGATGCATAGCATTTTCAATTTTGTGAAAGAATGCTAGACTTTGGCACTGTTTAAAAAGCATTGTTGGAGGTGGTTTTATTATGATAGCCGGCTAAACCACATGGCCCCACAACAAATCAGACCATTATACGCCACAACAAATCGATCCTTTTCAATTTTAACAAGAATGCTTTGGAACCACTTACATGCCCTGCCAGGCCCTGATATGAAAAGGAGGAAGCGGATCTGCGCATTGAGTATTGACCGACAATTCTTTTTTTTTTTCATTTCCTTTTATATTAACCTCCCACGCATCCTTCTTTGTCTCTCTGCTCTCCTTTTTTGAATTTGCAACAAATTGAAGATGATGTCGAAACATAAATCATGGTATAAAAAAAGAGTAAATGAAATAGAAATAGATAAAGAAATGGTGGGTTCCTTCGTTTTTATGATTCCTTTTTAAACGGAAAGGAAACGAAAGACGAAACATAAATCATGGATCCACTAAGCCCTCTCGGGGACTTGCTTAACTTAAGAATAAGAAAGAGGAATAACTAATTATTGGACGATACATAGACTTTACAGTTATTTTAAAAACAGGGACATTTTTGTAATTGCCACTTATTTTTCCATATATATTTTACCTCAAACCAAACATAGACTTTATAAATCTTACCTAATTTGCCCGGTTAAATTTTTTCCAACCAAACAATTTTTTTTACTTTTTTCTATCAAACCCACTTTCCAACCATTTTTCCTATCAATTACATTTTCCTAATATTCAAAAAATTTCTCCTCAACCAAACACCCCCTAAAAGCATCATAATTTCATAATTTGTATAATTATTCAATAAGATCCATATACATAATCAATTTTCATATCATAATCATAGTTTCCAAATTTATTCATATATCGCACATAATCATAATTTTCAAAATAATAAAATTTTCTAAAATATTCTAATTATCACATGTAGTGATTTAAATTTAAAAATTACATATATATATATATATATATATATATATATATAAAAATGTTCACGCAAAACTAACCTAAGAACACCTAGGGATTAAGATTACATCCAAGAAAATAATTATGTAATTAATCTTGTGATTTCCTATAAATTAAGATTAAACACAACAAAATTCCCAATAATGTTCATATATAAAAGAAGATCATGAAAATAAAATAATTAAACATATTGAGAAAATTTAGAAATTAACCTAATGGGTCTTTACATCAAAAGTATCTTAAGGTTGATCTAAACTTATTAAATCACACTATTAATATATTAGGTTCCCTAATTTAGTAAATTTTAAAGTATCTTCAAATAAATCAAAATATTAGTCAATTTTTCACAAAATAATTAATTATAAAAATATTTAACATGTTAATATATTGATAAATTTATGTCACTAACAGTCGCATTTTATGTTATTCAACAATGTAAAGAAGAAGGTATATAAATAATTTGTAAGAAGATAAAAATATATATATAATATTAATTATTTAAAAAAAATTAATACTCTGAGGATTAGAATTTACGTGTAACAAATTTCAAATAAAACAACCTGTAATTGTATAAATAATTCAATTATTTTCTATATGTATAAATGAAATCCAATAAAATTTCCAACAATATAATTATCTTATAATATCTTTAAAATAAATTTCGAATAAAACTATCCTAGGATTTCTTTTTTTTTGGAAATAACTATCCTAGGATTTCTTAAGCATCGAGAATACATCAAACAAGATTCATAAAGCTAGATTATGACTTTCTAGGGATTAGGATTACATATACCGAATTTCATACAATTATAACCTATGATTCTCTATGGATTAAGATTACATCAAACCAAAATTCATATCAAGCTACCATATGACTCTCTAGGAATTAGGATTACATCAAACCAAAATTCATATCAAGTTACAATACAATATTTCCTTTTTATTCTTAATTTCTTATGGTTCAGAATATCGCTAACTCATTAGTGACTTTCAATGTTGACTCATCATATCTAATAAAATTACTAATCAAACATGGGATAGGATATTGTTACACCCTAGTTATGTTACACCCATTAGATCGCTTATGTTGATCGAACGGTTATATTTATTTCCATCTTTGTATGGTCATGATTTTCCAAATTTAATATTTTATATTTATTTCTACCTTTGTATGGTTATGATTTCCCATATTTAATCATAACCATACAAAGGTAGAAATAAATATAAAATATTAAATTTGGAAAATCATGACCATACAAAGATGGAAATAAATATAACTGTTGGATCAACATAAGCGATCTACCGGTGAGATTGACTGGGTGTCACATGGGTGTAACATAACTTGGGTGTCACAATATCCTATCCCATCAAACATTACTAATCAAACATTAATGCATAAATGACCAATCAATTAATAATTCAAACAATCACAATTTATCATCTAATCCTAATAATATATATATATAGAGAGAGAGAGAGACACACACACACACATTATTATTATTACTACTAATTTATAATTTATTACTATTATTAATTTATTGTATTATAAATTACTATTATTTTTCATATTACATTTTTTTATTAGTATAATTAAATCCATTTTTTTTAAAAAAAAATGTTAAATCCTGTCTTATAAAGTTTTACCATTTTTATGAAAAACTCTATAGTCTCTGAAATTAAAAAAGATAAGACATAGTTTTTGAAATTGAAAGCTAAGACATAGTAAGTGTATCAGAGTATTCAGTATATTTGTAGTTATTATTTTTTACCTATATCATTCACTACATGTCTCTCATTCTCTTCCTTTGGTGGGATTTGTGTGCAGGTTCCCGGTATCAAAATGCCAAAAGGGAAGAATGATGTTTGTCAAACTCCATCCTCAGATAAGAGTATTCTGCACCCGCAGGACCTACCATCATTTAATCAAGAAAATAACATAATGATCTCCGTAGTAAATAATTGTGCAAAGGTATCAGAAATGAATTCTGCTTTGTTCGTTTTTGTTCTCGGATATAAATGGTTTGGATGTTTGTGTTTCGTCATGTTCCAAAATTCATTATACCAATAAACTTGTTTAATAGTGTCTGAGTCTTAAGGTTGTTTAATAGTGCTTGAGGGTTTCAAAATATGTATTCCAATAAATTATGGGACTTCTTGCTTTGAAGCTGCTCATACGCAATATATCGAGCTATGTCTGAATGAATTTTAAGATTGTAACGTTTTTGTCTTTGCTAGATTTTGGTCCAGCTCGGAGTTATAATTGGTGGGATTTGTGTGCAGGTTCCTGGTATCAAAATGCCAAAAGGGAAGAATGATGTTTGTCAAACTCCATCCTCAGAAAAGAGTATTCTGCACCTGCAGGACCTACCATCGTTTAATCAAGAAAATAACTTAATGATCTCCGATGTAAATAATGATGACATGGTATCAGAAATGAATTCTGCTTTGTTCTTTTTAGTCTTCAGATATAAATGGTTTGGGTGTGAACTTGGATGGATATTTGTGTTTCTCAGGTTTCAAAATTCATGATAACTTCTTTAACAGTGCCTCAGTGTTAAGGTTGTTTAATAGAGTCTGAAGGTTTCAAAATACGTATTCTAGTAAATTAGGGGACTTATTGCTTTGAATCTGCTCATACAATATACCGAGCTATGTCTGAATGTTAAGGTTGTAAAGTTTTGTCTTTACTAGATTTTGGTCCAGCTCTGAATTATAGCTGGCGGGATTCGTGTGCAGGTTTCTGGTATCAAAATACCAGAAGGGAAGAATGATGTTGGTCAAACTCCATCGGCAGATAAGACTATTATGCACCTGCAGGACCTACCATCATTTAATCAAGAAAATAACTTAATGATCTCCGTAGTAGATAATGGTGTCCAGGTATATCAGTAATGAATTCTGTTTTGTTCGTTTTTGCTCTCAGATATAAATGGTTTGGATGTGAAAGTGGAAGGATATTTGTGTTTAGTTATGTTTCAAAATTCATGATAACGGTGAACTTGTTTAATAGTGGTGTCATAGATTAACTAAATATGCTGAAAACTTAAGTTGTTAGGTGGTAGCCAAGATTGGTTTTATGTCTCTCTAACATGCCTTCTCACAAGAAATTGTGAAGGCTGAAAGTCAAGTGATTTTGTATTTATTTGGCATAGTAACTTCTTTTGGTTTCAGCAAATTAATGGTTTATGATTTAGTAATGTCTATTTCAATAAATCTCATATTTTGTCACAACTTGAGTTCGTCTTGATTTCTTTGTAGAAACTTGAAGGCATACTCAGACTTGGGGAGAAAATTCATAGAATAGAAAGTCATCTTAATAATTTGAATGAGCTAAAGGCTGAAACTGACCAAGAGATGCTGCAGCTGCTAGGTTCTCATTCTCTCCCTGTCTTATAAACGTACATGCATACAACTTTCTAGTTTTTAAATTTTATAATGTGAGATATGTGCTTAGATTAGCTATTAGCAAAAAATAAATATATAGTTATATTACTATCATGTTGTATTATTTTTAACAGTTATCAGATCAAGATAAGACAGGAAGTAATTAAGATTTAAAGATCATATTCACCGAATATGACTTTTTTGCATTTGACGTCTTTTTGTCCTGTGAGTTATATCTGTAGATCTAATTGTGGATTTATTATGATTGTTTTCTTCTGTTAACACAATAGACTACTAAGTGATCAAATAAAGAAATGACGTTGTCGATAGTTTGTGTCTGTCTTAATTGCACAGAGAAGGTTCAACCCTATCAATTGGGCGATCTGGACTCTTTCTCTACCAAAGACGAATTGACTACAAAAATTGGAAGTATGGAAAACTCAGCAGCTGGTGTCTTGAGTACACTTTCTATGCACCAAAACCCACAGAACTATTTCATGGAAGATATTATAGGTATCGTTGCCCTCCTTGGAACCGTTCAGAGTCCTGAGCTTAGCAGGTCGAGTAATGTTTCACTCCCCTGCCTCTCCCCTCAGAAAAAAAAAAATGAAAATTCTTCCATTTCAATGCATTGATAAAGAATAAAACGTTTTTAAATCTATTTTACTTCTAAATGTGTTTATGTTAACTTATCTGCAGGATATTAACAGAGTATCTTGGTGAAGATAATATGCTGGCTGTTATTTGTAGATCCTTTGATGCTGCACAATCTCTTGAGAAGTATACACAAAATGGAGAAATTGATTGTGGGTATGCTTTACATGCTGAAGCAGCTTCTCTTGGAAAATCTATAAGCAAGCGTTTCCGTGTTATATGCTTTGAAGATATAAGGTAACACAAAGTTTAACAGTCATGACTGTGATTTTCATTTATATATTATTATATTTTATAAGAGGATGAGTCTGGAAAAGAGTCTTGTGCATCGGGTTTGCTCTTTTATATAATATTTGCGAAGAGGCTGTTTCCAGATTGGAACATGGTCACTACTCCCCTCTTTATATAATATTTTATAATTAAAAAAAAAAAAAAACTATAGGCCAAGGCCTTACGTCGTGGAGCTTTGTTGTTTGTTATTTTTTAAAAGAACAACATGTATATGCATCGGTTTGACAGGCCATACACTGGGTGTTTGCGAGGAAAAGACTTTCAGAGAAAGTTGTGTTTGCCACGTCCTTGCTTGTCAAATGGGAAAACTCCAGCGGGTTTTATTGGTTATGCAGTTAATATGGTTGACCTGGACATCGATCACATGCAGACAAGGACAGCTTTAGGCCATGGGCTTCGGGAGACGGTGCTGTTTAGCCTTTTCAAAAAGCTCCATGTTTACAAAACAAGGGAGAGTATGGTTGCTGCTCGTGCATGTATAGTGGATGGTGCTGTTTCGTTAGATGGTGGTATTTTAAGAGAAAATGCAGTTCTCTCTCTTGGTTATGGGTATCTCTCTCTCTCTCTCTCTCTATATATATGTGTGTGTGGGTGTGATGAATATTCTCCGAAGTTATGCATTTCATCCAGTTTTTTTTGTGTGATAAATATTCTCTTGTGCATCTGGTTTCTTTTGCTCTTATTTTTGCTTAGAGCTCTTTGAAATGTTGTCCTGAACCCATCAATATAAATTTGCATAATTAGCCGGGTCAATGGCATAAATATTACATATTTGGTCACTGGGAGTAAAAGCTGGACAAGTTGTACAAATATGGACCAGATTGTAGATAATTTGTAAAATCGTTTTTCCAACTGCAAGGAAAATCTTTGAGCTCAACAAATATCACTTGAATATTGCCTCTGTCAGTGGGCCCTGTCCTTTTGTCATTACCGCTACATGATTTTATGAGGCTCGAAATAGGTATTGGATAATTTCGTTCTTCTCTGGTGGAGCTAATTGATATAACTCGGGTTTGTTGCTTCTCAGTCTCACAGAACATGAAAATGGACTATTAGCAGGTTGCCTATTAAGCAATCAGTTGAAGAGATGGATGAGAATTTCAGTAATGATATAATATTTTTTCGTTGAAAGATGAAAATCTTATGTTAAAATTTGCAAGTTAGAAGAATTGTTAGCTTTCTCTACCTTATCGTATAACCAAATGTATTTATGGGTTTTTGACTTCTTTGTTAGGGTACAGGGAGAAAAAGGGAATTAATTTACAGTTAAAATGCGTGGAGGTTTCTAGTAGTTTAGGCATAATGTGGTTGGAAAAATGCTATGAACAAACTTTTCAATACTTTATTTTCAATACCTCTTTATTATTGGGTACAATCTTGGCCCTATTAACAGGGTGTGGGCACATGATATTTATGGGGCTATCGAGATTTTACAGTGTTAAAAAGAATGTTAAAGACAGTTTAGCATTTTTATGTTTTTGATTTGTATTAGGATAAGTTATTTGGGTAGAAACATAACCCACCGAACTTGTTCTGGTTTTAGGAATCCTTCAATATGTTTTCGTTGTGTGAATCCGATGGTTCTCAGTCCAGAAACCGGAGAAATCTTGTCACAGATTAAAGGAAAGAAGTCAGATCTGAGGACAATTGAGGAAGAAATCGGAGTATGCAGTAAACGTCGTGAGAAGTATCTAAAGAAATTTACTAAAAAAAAAAAGAGATATCATCAGCTGATGGATAGAATGGAGCATGACAGAGAACTTTTGGATTATAAAACAGGTCAGGGGACAGCTCATAATGTATAGTGTTCTTGCTTGTGAAGTTTCCTGTAGCTGAGAAATGCGATAGGCTTTAAAGCAAAATTATGTGTAAACTTGTTTTTTAATCTTGTTAAACTTTCAGACCATCTGAGAGATGCTTGTTTAGGGTTATGAATATATTATCTTTTGCTCTCTTATTTTTCTAGCGCTCGTAGTGTTTACAGCGTTTTCGTACCCAGTTTTTAATCGACTACAACTTTCGCCCTTTTCCTCTCCAATTCCATCTCTTTCACTCTACAGTTCTGTTCACTCTTACACTGCACAGACAGAATCACTTTCCAACAAAATGAACTTCCAACTTAGCATGCTGGATTTCTCGCTGATTTTTATAGCCTTACACATAGTCGGTCGCAACAAATAAATACCTGTACTATATAATTGTTGCTTATGCCCGGTGTCTGTCTTTTTTATGTAAATAATTTTTGAAATTGTTTCCTTCTTCACCACAGTTCAAAGGTTATTTCTTTGGCTTCACATATTGAGAAGACACTTTGACTCCCTGTTTATTTAGTTAGTAAATGGCAAGAATAGGAGAATGGTGTGAAAACCCTGGGCTAGCAAATCATAAGAATTTGGCTGCAAATATGTTGCTGACGTATAGGTGTATTTTTATGTAAAAATTGATCAAGAAAAGACAAGCGTGGAACCTTGGGTGTCATGGACTCATTTTTAGTAGAACCAATAGAAGATTAACATACATGAAAAATCATATTTTTCTAGGATTAAAACCGTGGCACGGAGTACTCTGTGATGATATTATTATAATATTAAAAAAAATTCTCTCTTCACTCGATCGATAAGTTTATGAGAAGAATATAATTTTTTTTTAATAACCATCACAGTGAGTACGTGGCACAAAAAATATTTCTGTAAGTTAAATTAGTTAAACACTCAAACCCATTACCATTTCCACCATACTTGCACAACTCAACCAACACACATCTTCCCATTATCAACTTTAAGAAACGTAACCCTCATTTAAAAACCTTTAGGATAATTCTAGATACTGTTATAATTTTATGCAAAACTTGTCATAATATGAAATTATGAATAAGTATAGGGTCAAAATCTAATTTCTAACACATTTGAGATTAAATTATAGTTTATTCTTTATACTTTTATTTGTAGGTTAGAAAAATGAAATAATAATTTTACGAAGCTCTTAATAATCTTTTCTATCTAACAACATACTTCACTAAATTATTAAAAATAGTTAAATAGAAAAATCTAGTTTTACATTTTACATATGGTTGCTCTCACATATGGATAACTTAGGTTAATTTAATTGATAATTCTTTTGATAATTTTTTTATATGTAAGCTAGTTGTTGAGTAAATTAAGATTGCCAATTAATTTTATCTAAGAATTATGTAGATAAACTATTTGTGCAACTTTCATTATACATTTTTTAAAGATATTAATGTAAAATTCATGTATTATTATTATTATTCAATTATGCATGGTTATATTAACTCCGCCCATGTGTGCTTGCATGCATGGTCTGTCCCAAGTCAGGATAAAGGAGGAGGGTTGGCATCAGGTGTAGCGAACCGGCCATAAAAAACAGCTATATTTTTATGTGATGAACCCATGGCACTGCATCGGGCCGCGGGTGTAGTGAAAAATGTGCTAGGGTCCTTGCCCCAAGGCAAGGCGCCAGGTCTCCACTCGGATTTGGTGAGAAGTATGTCAGGGTCCCAACACGCAGATGGGCAAGCGTGGCGTGCAAGTACAGTCCAGAGGTTAAGGATGCGATTGGAAAGCTGGAACATAGGAACTTTAACGGATAAATTGAGGGAGTTAGCAGATGTTTTTGCTAGAAAGAAAGTGAATATTATTTGTTTGCAGAAAACTAAGTGGGCTGGAGAAAAGGCCAAGGAAGTGGATGGAATTGGTTTCAAGTTATGGTACACAGGTATTAACAAGAGTCGAAATGGTGTTGGAATTATGATCGATAAAAGTTTCAGAGATAAAGTTGTGGACGTCAAAAGGAAAGGCGACGAGATTATTTTGGTTAAGCTTGTAGTGGGTGATTTAATCCTGAATATCCTCAGTGTGTATGTACCCCAAGTCGGATTGCAACCAATTGATAAAAGACAATTTTGGGAAGACTTGAAGGAGGTTTTGAGGGGAATACCTCGAGAGGAGAATATTTTCTTAGGAGGAGATCTAAATGGTCATGTTGGTAAAAGCAATGGAGGTTTTGATAGAATTCATGGAGGTTTTGGCTATGGGACGAGAAACGAGACTGGAGAAGATATCTTGAATGTTGCACTAGCCTACGATTTGATGCTAGCGAACATCTTTTTTTGAAAAAGGGAGTCACATCTAATCACATATTATAGTGGTCAAAATCGTAGTTAGATTGATTTCTTTATGGCTAGTAGAGAAGATAGAACTTCTTGTGTCGATTGTAAGGTCTACCCTGGAGAGTGTGTCGCTACGCAACATAAGCTGGTAGTCTTGGAGGTTCGGTTCAACAAAGTACTTACAATGAGGAAGATGGCTCAGAACCCAAGGATAAGATGGTGGAAGCTTAAGGAGGGAAAAGAGAGAGAGTTCAATGAAAGAATGTTGCACGAAGGACCTTGGGAGTTTGATGCAGGAGCAAATGCAATATGGAATGAGATGGCTAAGTGTATTCAAAATATGGGAAGGAGGTGTTGGGTGAAAGCAAAGGAAATGGATTTCATACAAAGGAAACATGGTGGTGGAATGGAGAGATGCAAGAGGCAATTAAACATAAGAAGGAATGCTTTAGATCTTTGCATAAAAGTCCAGTGAAGAGAACTTGCAAAAGTTTAGATTAGCGAGAAAAAATGCAAAGAAAGCAGTGCGAGAAGCTAGAGGCAAGGTTTTCGCTGATTTGTATAAAAATCTTGGGTGCAAGGATGGTGAAAAAGGTATATATAAACTTGCAAAAATAAGGGATAAGAAAAGTAAAGACCTCACCCAAGTTAGATGCATCAAGGATGAAAATCAAAAACTTTTGGTGAGAGATGAAGATGTAAATGAAAGATTGATGAACTACTTCAACAAGCTGTTTAATGGGGTGGCGATATAAGGGAGGTGGACTTGGAGGACGCTTATGATGATTTGAATAGAAGATTTGTGCGCAAAATTAGTACACATGAAGTTAAGGAGGTTTTAAAGAGGATGAAGACTAATAAAGCCTTGGGACCTGATGGCATCCCTATTGAAGTGTGGAGAGGTCTGGGGGATGTGGCAATAAAATGGTTGACCAATCTTTTCAATAAGATTCTCCAGACAAATAAGATGCCTGATGCATGGAGGAAAAGTATAATTATGCCTATCTACAAAAACAAGGGAGATATACAGAATTGTTCTAACTATAGAAGCATTAAGCTAATGAGCCATACTATGAAGTTGTGGGAGAGGGTTATTGAACATCGCTTGAGGAGAGATACCAAGGTTTCTGTAAATCAATTTGGATTTATGCCAGGAAGATGTACCATGGAAGCCATTTTCTTGATGCGACAACTAATGGAAAGATATCGAGAAAAGAAGAAGGACTTACATATGGTGTTCATAGATCTTGAGAAAACATATGATAGGGTTCCAAGGAAAGTTTTATGGTGGGTTCTGGAGAAGAAAAAGGTATCATCAAAGTATGTAAAGGCAATCAAGGATATGTATGATGGGGCTACTACATGTGTGAAGCTTGTAACTAAACATCAAGTTATTTCGCTATCACGGTAGGTGTACACCAAGGGTCGGCTCTAAGTCCTTATCTCTTTGCCTTAGTTATGGATGAACTAACAAAAGATATTCAAGAGGAGGTGCCATGGTGTATGCTTTTTGCAGACGATACTGTGCTTATTGATGAGAGCAAAGATGGTGTTAATAGAAAACTTGAATTGTGGAGAAGCACTTTGGAATCTAAAGGATTCACATTAAGTCGGAGCAAGACTGGGTATCTGAAGTGTGAGTTTTCTCTAGTAAGAGACGTAGACCAAGATCCCGTGCATCTAAGTGGTCAAGAGGTACCCAAGAAAGATGCTTTTAAATACCTGGGCTCCATTTTGCAAAAAGGTGGAGAGATTGATGAGGATGTAAATCATAGAATCAGAGCAGGGTGGATGAAATGGCGTAGTGCATCTGGATCTTTGTGTGACCTTTAAATCTCCTTTAAGTTAAAAGGAAAATTCTATAGAACAGCAGTAAGACCTGCAATGCTATATGGAGCTGAATGTTGGCCAACACATAGGCAACATGAGCATAAAATGGGAGTAGCAGAGATGAGGATGTTAAGGTGGATGTGTGGTTATACGAGGATGGATAAGATAAGAAATGAAGATATTCGATGAAAGGTAGGAGTACGACCAGTGGCTGAGAAGATGAGAGATCATAGATTGAGGTGGTTTGGGCACATAATGAGAAGGCCATTGATGCTCCCGTAAGAACAGAAGTTTGTTACCAAGAGCTCAACACAAAAAAGGTAGAGGTAGACCGAAACTTACTTGGGGGAAGGTAGTAAAACAAGATTTAATGGTGTGGATATAGATTGACGAACGGTATGCCTTAGAACGGAATGGAGAAAAGCTATAAGCATGGTGGAGGGTTAGATCTGTTGTTATTCCTATGTTCCAGATGGTTCGTTTTTAGTCATTTTTCCCTCTTCTTCTTTTCCCTTTCTTTTTTACTTATATATATATATATATATATTATTACTATTCTATTCTATTTATTTATTTTTACTTTTATGTTGTTTTCAATCTTTTTGTATCTTTCATTTGGGTTCATCTATCACCGAATCCAATTAATTTGGAATAAATGTGTTGTTGTTGATGTTGATGTATGCATGGTTATATTATTAAGAAAAATTTGTGTTTACAATAATTACTCCAAAAATGACATTTTTAAAAAATTGTATCAATATATAATTATGTGTAAAAAAAATTGCAACAAAAAATATCAAAATTAAACCCTTCTTATTTTATAAACCAAAATTTAGAATGAGAGAATATTTGTGTAATTTCAGGATTACAACGTCTTTAAATTTAATAAACACTTACAAAAGAAACTTATAACAAACTCACTAATTATTAAATATCCCTTCACTCAAAACCAAATTATATATC